GTGAGTCTTACTGAAGTGTGCTGAATACCACTCTGTCACTGGCTCATGACAGACTTAATGATGTCTCATTCTTCTATGAAGTCATGGCTATAGTCAATAGCAGACCTCTGACTATAGATAACTTGAACAGCCCCGACAGCCTAGAACCGCTTACGCCCAATCATCTGCTGCACATGAAATCCAACGCACCGTTGCCCCCACCTGGTGCTTTTTCAGAGGAGGACCTGTACAGCAGGAAGAGGTGGCGCTGTGTGCAGTTCCTTGCAGAGCAGTTCTGGAGCCGCTGGAGAAGGGAATATATTTACAACATCATTTCAAGGCAAGAGTGGCAATCACCAAAAAGGAGTCTAAAAGTAGGTGATGTTGTGTTGGACATAGATGAACTAGTGCCCAGAGGTGAGTGGAGACTTGCAAGAGTTGTAGAGGCTGTCAGTGGAAAAGATGGACTTGTGCGAAGAGTAAAGATCTCACTTGGAGAAAAGAGACTCAATAACAAAGGTCAACAGTCTAGTAAACTATCAGTTGTGGAGCATCCAGTACAAAAACATGTATTGTTAGAAAGTTCTTAAGGTAACTTCTACATGAGTTATTTTGTTGGGGAAAATTATTCATTGTGGTTCTTATGTAAACCAATTATTCATAATTTTGGTGGGAGTGTAAATAACCCTAAATGCTGTTATTTAGTTCCTTGCACCTTATTTTGGCACTCATCGCTGTTTTCTACTACCAGCTTCCTCTTCGGGTTTAGAATAGTGATGTGCGATACCGCTGATTTCCTTTCCGATCCGATACAAAGTAAAATTCAGGGTGGTATCGACGATACTAATCCGATACTGATACTCTGTACAAAAGCTTAATATTTCATTGTATTTCATATATAATTGTATTATGTAATTGTAATAATAATATAATAATATAGCTTCATAATGATTAAAGGCAGTGTTGGGACTAACGCGTTATTAAGTAACGCGTTACAGTAACTACGTTATTATTGTGACATTGTAACAAGCACGGTAACTAGTTATTATGCCAAAATCAGGAACGCGTTAGTCGTTACTGGGATTTAGATAGGGTCGTTACTCGTTACTTCGTGTGGTGGCTATCGCAGAG